AGTCTAGTGCTCTTTAGTGGCTGCTTTTTGCTTATGCTGCTTGCTGTACTTCCACACCACTTATCATCTTACTCTGCTGTACCTGGGAACATTTTGATAACAGCAATGGTGATGCACCTGGGCTGGCAGATGACCAGGGCATCGCTGCTGTTTCTGTGCTGCTGCACTGGACAGGCTGGGACTCCAGTGTGAACTTGAGTCGAAGGAACGGTGATCTGTGGATGAGTTCACCTGTGGGAGCAGAACACCCCAAAATGTCTGTGGCCATGAATAATTCCACACCAGAGCAGGTACACCCTGAAGCATCTGTGGCTGTGGATAAGTCCACGCTGCAGCAGGTACACCTTGAAGCAGGAGTAGCTGTGCATGATGTCATCCTGGAGCACATCAAAGCGTGTGGCCAAGGATAAGCCCACGGCAGAGCAAGTAACGCCCCTGGAGGGACTGCAGCCATGGGTAAGGCCACGCTGGAGCAGGTACATCTCTGAAGTCATTGTGGCCCATGGAGAAGGCCATGCTGGAACAAGTGCACCTCAAAGCAACTGTGGCTGTGATAAATCTGTGCCACAGCAGGTACACCCCTGGAGAGACTGTTAGTCATAAATAAGGCTCCACTTGGAGCAGGTACACCCCCAAGGGACTGCTGTCTGTGGGTAAGTCCAAGCTGAAGCAGGGGTAAGGGGAGGAGTTCATTGCAATGTGAAACCTGATGGTCTGGTCCTAAAGGAATTTCCAAAATGGAAATATCTTTAAATTCTTGTAACCCATTATTTGAGTTGCATGCTATAGGAATTACTACAGTAGGAACCACGTGAACCAATGAAAGACACACCTTACAAGAAGCAGTGCAAGTGTAGCGGTGGCCTGACCTGAGCTGGCTTTGGTGCCCAGTAACTCCACACAACACACCACCTCTGCTGTCCCGAGTGACCACCGTGAGATGGAGCCCAAAGTCATGGACTAAATGAACTCAACAGACATTTGTGGACATTTTAAAGACATTTTACCAGGGTGTGATATCTGTGTATTATATCAAAGGATGGGAAGGGGGATGGTGGTTAATGAGGTTGTAGGCAAAAGACACTTGATTGGGTAAGAAAAGAAACATCAGTTTAATTTGAACACCACCACCACTAATTTACCAATCAAACAGAGTAGGACAGTGAGAAATACAACCACATCTTAAAGCACTTTCCCCCCCACCCCTCTCTTCTTCCCAGGCTCAGCTTTGCTCCCAATTTCTCTACCTTCTCCCCCAACAGCAGAGCAGGGGGGCAGGGGATGCGGGTTGCAGTCAGTTTGCCACCCACTGTTTCTGCCATTCCTTCCTCCTCAGGGTGAGGACTCCTCACACTCTTCCCTGCTCCAGCGTGAGGTCCCTCTCACTGGAAGCAGTCCTCCACAAACTTTCTCTGATGTGGGTCCTTCCCACAGGCTGCAGCTCTTCATGAACTGCTCCAGCGTGGGTCCCTACCGCAGGCTGCAGTCCTCCCAGCAATGGACTGCTTCAGCGTGGGCTTCTCTCAGGATCCCAGCCTGCTTTGGCTGCAGCTACCTGCTCTGGCATGGGGTCCTCCACGGGCTGCAGGTCGGCATCTGCTCCACCAGTGACCTCCGTGGGCTGCAGGGGGACAGCCTGCCCTCTCACCACAGGCTGCAGGGGGGTCTCTGCTCCAGCACACCTTCCCCTCTTCCTCCTCCTTTCTTCCACCGCCCTCAGGGTTTGCATAGGTGTCTCCCTCACCACTCCTCCTGCTCTCAGGCTCCTCTTCTTAAATATGTTATAGCAGAGGTGCAGCAGTCGTCTCTGTAAGGGAAAGAAAGAGTGTTGTTTTCCCAGAACAAGCCTGATAAGGGAGGAGCGATTCACGCCTTGCCTGTGGCCAGAAGATAAGTGGTCCTTTCGTTAACTTTGATGACCCAGTACTTGGAACTAGTTTTAGGTGGATGGAGATACCAAAAATCTTGGGGAACCTGAACTTTTGAACTTTTCATCTTAGTACGATTGCGTGATGAGCACATGCGTATTAACTTCTCCGCCCTGGAGACAGCCAAGGTTCATTTCCACGAACATGCGATGTATGAACACATACATGAAGGGGCGTGTCGGTAGGCGGTCCGGGAAGTCTGTACACCCTGTAGTACTCAGCCACTGAGGAATCAGGGGAGGGAGCCTGTGGTCGGGCAAAAGGGTTATAAACCGTTACACGATGGCGTGTCCACCTGGTGGGGTACCTGGTCTTGCAAGGATGTAATAAAACATGCTTCACAACGCCTGAGCCGCTGACCGTTGGCAATTAAGCATTCTTCACATTTCTTCACCAAGTAAAATGGAGGAAAACTGTGTTTGATATATCTGAGCTATTCAGTGCTCAAAGCAACATATATATTTAGCCAGAAAGTTTGTAGAAGCCTAAAAGATGGTGATTGGAAATCTCAGGTTTGCTTTGCCTTGCACAGCTTAAGGAGATGCAGCATAACCTCATGTCCAACCATCAAACAACACCCAAAATTACGCCTGTTTCCATCAGTGAAGGAACAGAGGCTGACAGACAAGGAGGTGTAGCCAGTGGGGCCGCAGGTGCAGCAGAGCACAGCCGCTAGTCAGACCTGCTTTGTTACCCGCTCAGTCGCCTCAGATAGGTACCAAGATCTCAAGAAGATCCATCACATGGCCTGATACAGGCTATACTTAATACTGATACAGGGCCAAGATAGGAACAGGGGATGTAAGGGTTAACATGAGAATAGCAAGAAGGGGATAATAGCAAGAAGGGGATAACAAAAGAAAATAGTTCAAGGGAAATAGTTTAGATAACGGTTAACTGTCTGCTTAGTGAGCAGACAGTTTATAAAACACGGTGAGCTCTCTAGGCTTTATCAGTACCAAGCCGGTTGGAACTAGACCCACGGTTTGGACAACAGCCAGTAAGAAACTGAGTATGCGCAAAACCTGGGGTCACAGAGCGGACAGGAGGAAGAGGAGCTTGACTTCATCCCCAAAGACCCCCACGACCACCACCAGAAGACACTGCGCAGACTCAACTAGGAGGAGATTATGGAAATGCTAATTATAATACGAAGCGGGGATAGGTGTTGAATATGTATAGGCGTATTGCGAAATATTATGAATATGTAATCATTTGCTCTATAAATCTTCGGTAACAGCATCATACGTTGGGTACACAATAGGAGGAGTTATCCCCTGTGTACCTCAGCGCTGAATAAACATACCTACTTTACAATCTATCAGATTGTGGAGTCTATTTCCGCACGTCAATACCACATTATTGCTGTTTCCACTATCAGAAAATACTCGGACAGAGGCCACCTCGTGCATTTGGGTGCTCATTAAAGCAAATATTTATGAAACATTTATCAGCAGCACCACACTCCCTCAACACTTAGGAGAAGAAAAGTACGGATGAGGAAGATCAACAAGTGATTTCGCAGCATTCCACCGAGACTTCCTTCACGACAGTGAGAGGCAAAGACGGGGGTGGGGTGCCGGGTAGGGAGGAGGGGCGAGGCCGGGTAAATAGAAAGCGAAACGAGGGCAGAGTTCGGGGTGGGAAGCCGTGCTTCCCCGTGGGAGCGTGGGACCGCCGGCGGGGCGCCCACCCGGCTGCGACTCCTGCTGCCGCCGCGCCCCTCAGTCGCCGCCTAACGGTCTCCGCGCGGGCCTTCCCCCCGGCCTTCGGGGGCGGAGCTAGCCGCGCGCCGCAGCGGCCCCTCCCTCCGCCGGGCGCCGGCGGGCGGCAGCTCTCCCTCGGCCCGGGGGGAGCGGCGGGCCTGCGGGGATGGCGCTGGCTGCCAGGTACGGCTGGGAAGGCGGTGGCCTCCTCATCTCCTACCTTCTCTTCCCTCCTCCTCCTCCTCCTTCTTCCCCCCTTCCCTTACCAGGTCCGCCGCCCGCGGGGCCGGAGCGGGGGTGGGGGGCGCCCGTCGGTGGTTGTGGGTGTTGGAGCTCTTTCGTTAGAGCCGCCGGGGCGGCCCCTAACCGCCCCCGGGGCCCGGGCTGCCCGCTCTCTGGTGGGGTCCCCCCGCCAGCTCCCTCGGCGAGGGGAGGTGTCCGTGGGCGCCGGACTTGGCTTCCCGAGCTTGCGGGCGGCTGCCGGGATTTCCTGGAAAGGTCTCGGCGCTCTGTTAGCGCTTTGCTGGGCGCGTTGAAGAGGCCGCTGTGGGCCGAAATCCCTGTCCTGGCGGCACGTTTCGGCGTAAAACCAGCTGAATCGCACATAAAACCGTATATAACCTTTTGGGATTGTTTCTCCGGCAGTGTCACTGAATGAAAATTTGATCCTAGCGGTAGGCTGTGAGGTGTGTTGTAGGCGTTTTTGGTTTAACTAATCGTGCAGCTCAAGGCTGGAAATTTGTAAGGAAAAAACGATGCACAACAGCACAAGAGTAGACTCTGACAGAGGCTGTCACCAAGTGCTGCTTCGTTGTCCCTCCAGCCGCGCTGGTGCCGCACGGGCAGCCGAGGAGCCTGCTGGTACGTTTTAATGCTGTGTATCCCACAGTGGTTTCTCCAGGGGCGTGTCCAGCTCAGCAGGAGCACTGCTGGCAGCGTATGGAAAATGGACTCCTGGTTAGCGAACTTAGATTATTAAGGTTAAATGATTTTGATACCCTTAGAAGCAACTTGTCCAAAGTCCCCCAGCAAAGCCAGGAATAGCGCGTGGGCGTAATGTTACGACCCACAGCGCGATTCCCTTGTTTGCGTGGTTTCAGTAGTAAGGTTGATCCATATGTTGTATTACCTGTGTAGGTTTAGAGCATTCCTCTGCTGACTTCTCTGCCTGAAAGGTTTCCTGTGCTGTCTCTCTCTCAGTATTCTGATAAGCAAATTTCTATAAATAAAAATACCATCTGCTTGTTTAAAAGAAAAGGGTGTTTTTTCTGCTTTACTGATGTGGAGATTTTCTGAAATACAAGCAGTTGACTTTAAAAATTTCAAAGCCTGGGTTTGTTGGTTTGGGTTTTTGTTTTGTTTTGTTTTTCTGATTGGAAGCAAATACAGAACAACCCCGCCTGAACTCCAGTTAAAAATGAGCTGCCAGTGAAGATGATGTGGAGGTGTAAAGCTGAGTTTTGAAAGTACTGTGGGCTTCAGGCAAGCTCCCAGGGGAGTTACTGTGAGCCCAGGCTGATGAGGTGAATGAGGGTTGGACTCACTAATATTTGCATCCTTCTTTCCATGGATTGCTGAAGCTCTGAAGAGGATGAGTAACAAAAGCTAATCAGAGTTCTGACAGAAATGGTTTTTCCCTGGAATTTCTCCTGGAATTTCACTGTCATTGATAGATCCGCAGAGGACATCCAGATTTAGACAACTGTGCAAACTTAGAGGAGATAAACATGTTTTGTCACATCTTTCTTACACATTCTAAGGTGTTAAACATATAACTTGTTTTTGAATATGCATCATGTAAGATACATGTTTTGTTCAGCATACAGAGCCATTCACCAGTCACTTCAGATTCCAAGAGTGGGGTAGTTGCTACTCATGACAGCATGTACAGCAAGGATCAAAGGTACGCAAGTACATCTATTGCATAATACTATATATGGAGTGCTTTGAACATGTCTTGTGATTAATTGCAAGGATTAAGACATAAAGGAAATATTTTGCTAAGTGGATTCCAGATCCTCGAAGTTTTCCCCTAAAGAGAAAATTTTGAACAGCCTGAAGAATCAGATCCTACAGGTGTAACTGTTCTTTAAAGTGACTGTAAAAGTAACATTGTTTGGCGTTAGGTTTCTGTGTGACTTCTGAAGAAAGCTGGTAATCCTGTTAAAGTAGAAAGATTTATTTTTTTTCTACTACTGTTATCTGTAAACTTGATCTGAATGAGAAGGTCAAATTATTTTATCTTCTGTCACATTCACTAGTGCCAAAACTAAATGGACTTGATAGATATGTATGACTTAATTGCTTTCTAGTTTCCTGATACCAGTGATAAACCTAAAGATTTTGTACCTAGTAAATCTTATCATCCATAATTTTTAACTTGATTAAAAAGAAGACTGGTATTTTACATCTCCTAAATATTCCTCATGCTTGAATGAATTAATAAAATGAACCAAACTGAAATGAAAAGAATGTTTTCCTTGTTTGTGGAATTATGTGACTTTCTATAGTCATGCTAAGACTTTGAGCAGAAGAAGACTGACATCTCAGATAAGGGTTTAATTAAGCTGATTTTAACATACTATGTTAAGATTGACCATAGTGTGCTTTGTCATGATTTTAAATTTTAAGCTGTTTGTTTTGCAGAGGAAATGATTTAACTTGTATTTTTAAATAATTTTAAATTTAAAAAACAATTTATTTATATTAATCCTGAGGCGAAAATGATTTGGAAATAGCTATACCCTTGCCTATCCATCTGTAGATTCACAATTGTTCCTTAATACTTTGCCTGCAACTCAGAATCAGATCTTGCAAATATGAATGTTATGAGGTTAATAGATAGAGTAAAATAATAACATCGAGGAGAGGGAATATTTTAATAGATCTTATGTATTCAAAAAATTGTAACATAAACTTCATAACCTCCTTATAATTAGTAATTTTATAATTTTTTTTTCTAACCTCCCTCTTGATCTACTTTTTTTTCTGGAAATATTTTTTACGACAGTGATGAGTTCTTGTAATATTTCAAATAAAGCCAAACAGTGTTTATTTTCATTATATTTAATAAGTGGGAGTGAATGGCATAGAATTTTCCGATGCTATCTTTGTGCAAAATTAATACAAATAACCCTACAATGCTTTCTGTATTTTTTTTTTTAATGGTAAGAGCCCTTTCCATGTGAAAAAAGGAAAGTGCTATTGTCATAAAATTGCCTGTCTAATCTGAGCATCCTTTCCCCTCCCACCCCCGGCAGTAACTGTTTCAGTCCCACTGCCTTCCCCCAAACATTGAAGAGATTGAAATAACTCTTTGTACATAAGCCTCATTTTACTTGCAAGTAATTTACTAAGATGATTTGCTGAATCATATTGGTTTTAATGTATTTGCAGGTACAGAAGCAAAATGTTTATTTTACAATCAGCACATTATATTTCTTAATCACTATGGAAACCCTGATGGATGTACCAATGCGTTTTTATCAGCTGGGTAAGTCGCCTGTACCTTTGTGTTGTAAGAGAAGTAGCAGTGCTAATTTTTCACTAACACTCCTCCTGAGTTACCAAAGTAAGATACCATCATCTTACTATAGATCTCCCCTTGTAATAGTTCACGGAATCAAGAGTCTAGTGTATTATATTCTGCATACTCCATTCTATACATAAATTATGATTTTTCCGTAAGAAATAAATGCTTTGAAACATCATGCTGCATTCTGCCTTTCCAAATGCCCAGTGAACTCTTTGTTGAATGTGTTGTTTTTCATTTCTTGTCCTTAGTTTTTGGATTAGAAGACACAACAAACATAGTTTGTTGGCTGAGCTGTAGTTCATTCAATTCTGTAAAAAGGATAAAATGGTAAAGAACATTGCCTGTTCAGTTTATAGACCATCTTTATATCTCCAGTCTTAATTTTCCCAGTTATTTGGTCAAAGATTATTTTTTTTCTTGTCTGTGTCTCTTTTGTAAGAGTGTAACCTACAAAATTTTGCAACTTTCTAACTATCCTTGCTAAACATGTGTGTTAAAACAAAGTTCTGAGGCAGTTTGAACTCTAGACAAATGCAATTTGATTTTGATAGGGGAGAGGCATTTAAAAATCACAAATATGGACAGAATAGAAAAATATTTCTGTCATCAGGAAATACATCAGCAAGACAGCTGACATGAGAGGTGGCTGCCGTAAGAAAGAATGGCAAAAGACTGTTTTGCGTCTCCTAATCCAAACAGCTTGCTCCAAGAAAGTGTGTCATTACCAGAGTCTGTGCACTGACACTATCTGTGTCTGTAATGGGAATGTGATAAAGGCTGCGTGCCTGTTGGGAGAAAGGAGAATTCCTGTCACAAATGATTACAAATCTGAGCTTGTGTTCAGGTAAAGAATGATAACAAAGTATTGCTTTGTTATTCATACCCACAGGATGTTTTTTTCCAGGTAGAGGAGCTGTTACTATATGTCAAGAAACCAGTTGTTCTACTTTTAACTGCAATTCTCTAAGGAGATGTTTATTATTCAGTAATAACATAGAAGAACAAGTGCAAAAGGCAGATGTACAAAACAGATGATGTCTGTGATTTGAATGGCAAAATGAAGCTTGAGATGAGTTTTCTGTCTTGTGGAAATAGAAATTTGCTGCATTTACAACTCAAGCGAGCTGCTTAATCTCTTTGCATTTAGTTTCAGAAGGGATGTTGAGAGTGTAGTTTAATATTTGTGAGACAGATGTCCAAAGAGACAGACTTATAAGAGATACTTGGCTAAGTATCCATCCCAAATGATTTCAACAAACTTGGGTGCCCAAGTGTATTTGTATGTGCTGCTGTGTGTGCCCTCTGCTAACTAAAGACCAAGTTTTAAGGCACTTCTCTGCAGCCATAAAGGTTCTGTGCAGATATCTCTTTAATTAATTGAGTAGGAAATTTTTCCTGTACTCTCTGCAAAAGTAGACAGGGATCATAAAATAACTGCATTAATTCATTAAGAAATTCTCGTAGTGTGTCTGGGGCAGGACAGTTCCCACTGACCCACTACTATTCTGAATCCCCTCTACTTTCCCAGGAATATGTATTCTGGTCCTATGTTTTACACAGTTGGGGTTTGGACCTGATGACCTCCGGAGGTCCCAACCAACCTCAGCCATTCTGTGATAGTCCATTCCTATCTATTATTTGTAGATCTCCATAAAGATGGTTTTAATTTTTTTATGAGATATGTCCTAGACTTCTGTTGTGGTTTGGGCCTGATTGGCAACCAACCACCGCAGCTAATCACCCTCCCTTCCCCCTCCCCACCTGGGAATGGGGGAGGGATTAGAGGGGTGAAGGGAGACTCGCAGGCTGAGATAAGAACAGTTTAATAATGGCAATAAAATGAGAACAATAACGATGATGGGGGAAAACAAAAAGAGATATATAAACAGGCGATGTACAGCGTAATTGCTCACCACCCGCTGACCAATCCCCAGCCCGTTCCCGGCCAGCGACCCCGAGATACCAAGATCCCACAATCGCGATCCTGGAAGCGAGAGAGAGAGCTCCTTCCCAACCACCCCTCCTTTATATAGTGAGCATGACGTTCCATGATATGGAATATTTCACTGGCCAGTTAGGGTCAGGTGCTGTGTCCGTGCTCCCTCCCTGCTCCCTGTGCCCTCGCGCACGGGCAGGACATGGAGAGTCGGAGAGTCCTTGAAGTCTCGGCAGCAGCTGAAAACATCAGTGTGCTATCAGCATTCTTCTCATACCAAACCCAAAGCTAAATCCAAAACACAGCACTCATCTAGTCCCTGAAAAGGAATATTAACTCTATTTCAGCCCAAACTAAGACAACTTCTTTTCTCTTTTCATGGTCATTCTTACTGTGGCACAATTTGTTGACATGCCAAGTAGTTCTGTTGTGTTATTTGTCATAGTGTGGCACCTTGAGAACCTCAGCAGTGGGCCAGGGTGCTACTGCGTTAATTGCTGTACAAATGTAAAGTCAAAGACATTCCTTATGCTAAAGAAGTTACCATTCTAAGTGAGATGAGGAGAATAAAAGCACGTGTTATGGCAGTATGAATCAGCACAGTCCAACAGAGGTAGCAGGCCAGCAGTCTTTTGGGTATTGTCATATTTTTGTGTAGAGGATTTGGGTGTCAAGGCAAAAGAGGGTTCATGGAGAAGAGTTTTAAGGAAAATAATGAAGTAATTTTGCAGATATTTCCATTGAGTTTGTCTAAAGGATGAGAAAAAGCATGCATGTTTGAAATTAAACTAGTAACTTCTTTGGCCAGCTGAGTATGGGAGTTGGCATCTCATCAGTAGGAGGATAGGCCACAAAATGCCTTTAAAATGAGGACAGGAGATTTATATTTGTTGCACTTGGAAAGCGGAAGGGAGCTAAAGGATCTTGAGAAAAAGATTGGAAGGGTCAGAACAATAATTTCAAGAGTGTCTTGAAGCACCATGCCAAAAAGATATGAATGATGCAAAACTGGGTTGGTCAAGGAAGAGGATTCTGGATACAGTGAGAATCTGGATAAAAGAACAGTTTCTTAGGGGAGGTTACACAAGAAGATGTGGGGGCCTCTAGAATGTCAGGATCTGCAGGAAGGCTGGATTCAAGAGATTACTCGGACAGTAAGGCCTGACTGACAAGCTGAATGTGGCCTTAACCACGTCCTCTGACAGCAGAAGTGGTGTTGCAGCATCTGTTGGTGTGGGTTTTTTCTTTTCTTTTGCAGGCAGAGAACAGAATGCTGTGGTGTTAAACATCCACACGGGAATGTTAACAGAAACAGGATGCAAAATAGAGGAGTTACAAAACAGAGCCTGAAATAGGGAGTTACAAGAGTTAGCTGACTGAAGACAATGAGTAATATATGAAAGTTGTTTAGCAACAACCTTGAGGACTCCTCACATTTAGTAAAGAAGGACATCTGTGAAGATGATTCAGTGACATTCTTCAAGCAGTAGTAGTAACTTTTCCCAGAGCAGTTTTAAGATTCTTGTCATGACTTAAAAATGTGTTTAATAGACGGAGTGAGCTACCTGAAGCATAGTCAGAATCCTCTAGGATAATGTTTGGTAAGAACATCTTAAGTACAATTATTCACACCAAGTCTCGAACGTCTTCTGTCAGGGATCAGCATAAGCCTGAACCACAGTGTGGTTATCAAAGAACTAGCTCCTCGAAGCCTCGAATTAATGGCAGAGGTTAGAAGGGGACATCCCGTACTCTGGGGAAGGAGGGAAGGGTAGGCAGATGATGTGAAAGAAACTGTTCCTCTGAGGGAATACTGAGTATTGTCTCTAATTGTTGCAAATTAATATTGCCAATAGTAAGCTAATAATCAGATATTGCAGACATACAAATGCATTGATACATAGTTTCATTTTTCAGTGTACATCAGCATTCTGTCTACGGTTTGTTGGAGCTTGTCTGGTAAGAGTTTTTATTGTCTTTCAAATGCTTTTCCTAACACAGTTCAAAAAACTTGCATATTCTTACCAAGCATAATTTTAAAACTTAATGCTTTTTGAATAAAGAACTTAATAGAAATATAATACAGCAGGAAAGTCCTTTGCATTGTTGTTTCTATTGCGCTGAATTCTGGTTTATGCTTGCTTTATTTTGGGGCAAATATTGGGCTGCTCTAGTTGGGTTTATGTATTAGAATTACTGCAATCTCACATTTGTTTGTCGTTCATATTGTTCGGTTGTTTGTTTTGGTTTGGTTTGTTTTTTTTTTCCCCATTGTAGAAGGATCTCCAGGAGGGCCACCTCACAGTCTACAAATGGAATCATGCAATTTTCAGCACATTTTATCCTGGCAGGCAAAAAGTGATCCATCTGTGCCAACATTCTATCGTGTGCTGTACTCTGACGAGAGGCAAGTCTTGTAAGACACAAGTTTTGCTTCCAGTGTTTATCAACTCAAAATATTAAGGCTGGGGTTTTCTTGTTTGTCTGTTTTTCCACTCAGAAATGGTCCTCCCTCCCTGCCACTATGCTTTCTTCTATCAGAGAATCCAGATAGATTATTCTGATCTTGTTTTAACTTGTTTTGATTTACAGGAACTGGAATACTGCTAAACAATGTTCAAATATTACACAACTCTCCTGTAATCTGACAGATGATTTTAAAGAGATTTTCACTGAGTATTCTGCATTGATTCAGCGCTTCATAGGAAATGAAGTATTAAATTCTTCTATACTTCGTTTTGTGCCACTTACTGACAGTAAGTTCTCTGCATTTGCTCATTTTAGTAGTTTTTATTCATAGCTGATATACAAATGCTATTCAGCTAGCTTTACAGTAAGACACTCCAAACTAACTTGGCTGGTAGATTATTCCTTTATATAAAAGAATATAAATTTGGATATAATCTACCATATATCAGTTACAAGACATAGAATGTATAGATAGCTTTCTAAAATTAGTGGCTATGGTAGTTCTGATAAATGGATGAGGATCTGGTTTTGAAATAAAATATGTATACATATTTTATGTAAAAATATAGAGGTAAAAATATATATATGTATGTATGTAAAAATATAGAGGAAATAGCATCATGTTGAGCATTGACAAGCACAAAATAAAGAGTCTCTAAGTGCATAAAATACATAACTTAAAAAAAAAAAACAAACAAAACAAACAAACAAACAAAAAAAAACCCAAACCACACATTGTTTTTATGTCTTCAAGTCGTCAGTTAAGAGTTAAAGAAATACCACGTTTGTACTAGGTCTGTGGGAGAAGATTTACTTGTTCATCAACCTGCTTTTCCCTTTCCTTGATGAAAGAAGATGCTTATTAGCTGTGACATCTTGTAATGCCAGAGGTGGCTTCACCCTTAGTCATGCTTAGTATTCAGTTTTGAAGTAGCAGAGACAGAGATGGAGGAACAATTGGAGGACTATGGAGGAGAAATAGGTCATGTTAACTTCTGAATTCAGCACAGAGGTAGCTGGTGCTGTGTCTACTTACAGTCTCAGAAATTATGAAAAATTGGGTATGGGGAAAAGAGCCACAAGGATAACTGAAGGATTTGAGAACATCTCTCTGAGTTGGAGACCTTCAGTCTTTCAGGAACTAGTGTAACAGAGAAGAACCAGATGGTGCGCTGACCACTAGTTAATATGGTGGCAAGTTTCTTCAGTCATCTAAACAAAGCATAACAGTGTGCCCTGACTGGAAGCTGAAGCTAGATAAATTTTAGCCAGGAACAAGAGGCATATTTTGAATTGACTACTGGAACAAACTGTCAGGTGCTCTGATTGTCCATCACTGACAACTTGTACATTGAAACTGGATGTTTTACTAGTAGTTCTCTAGTTCAAACCATAAGCAATTGAGTCAAGTCATGTTTTCCAAGGCACAGGATTTAGATGCACCTGTAGTATTTTCTTGTTCTACAGTGCCTGAATGGGAAAGAATCAATGTTCTGAGGTATTTTCCTACTCGGTGTAGTTGATATCTGTCATCAGATACTTAGGATAGAATCTTACTCCTATTGACAGGTGGATTTGAGCAGACAGAAAGGCTTCATAACAAAGAGCCAGGAGAAAACCACATTTGACTGAAACCAGATTTAAGCTAGTGTTTATTTTATAACTTAAAATATGACAAAGCAGTAAGTGTGCAACCATCTGATTAGGACATGCTTTCCTGTTTGAGGGTAGATGAAAGCTCATATGTTCTCTAAGCATTAAACTTTTTTTTTTTTTTAGCTTTCTACCCTATTTTAGGAACCGAAGTAGTTAGCAAATGTATATATTGCTTTTTTGATTTTTGCAGAGGTTGGCAAACCAGTCTCCACCTTGATCAAAATGTATGTATTTCTTGAAAAGACATACGTGAATGCAGATTATAGATTTTCATAGTTTTTCCCCCCACAATGTACTGTGCAGAAATGGAGGATTATGGAGATAACTGCTTCTCACACCATTTTCCGACTTTCCTACTTCTTTCCTGTGTTGGAGGAAAGAAGGTTCTAGGCTTGATTCACCATAGAAGTTCCTCTGATCTTGATGGATGTGTAGTTTGGGAGAGAGGAAATGGTCAGTGTTCATGGCTCTTCAAACACAAGTTCTGAGGACCTGAACTTGAAAGTATACTTTGAACTCAGTGGAAGAGTCACAGAAGTGTAACTGTGTTTCACTAGGTCCTCTCTCCTACTGTCAGTGTAGTGTATAGTCTTTGGAGCTCAGCTGTCAAGTTTAGAGCTATAGCCTTCCTTGCAACCAGTACCAATATGCAGGGCTACACACCACTGAATTGCTACAAGGATTCCTTCCAGAGAGTGACTAGAAGATGATGGTGAGCAAGAAAGTAATCAGCTTTTCCAATACATTAACCTCAGCTTTCCTCTCAAATAGATAAAAAGCTTACATCTCTGTGGAGCTGAAGCAAACCCTCTGTCACCTTTCTGCTTCTTCCCTCCCACCCACTGCTTTCTGTTTTTAAAATCTAGCCATGTGGGAAAAGATTGTCTGACTGTGAAACTTAAATGTTGCAACATCTTGTGGATTTACAACACTGACATGCTCTGGAATCTGATTTATCGGCTATATATCCATCACTGAAATAGAACTGGTACTGAATACATAGTGTATATTTTTTTCCATCATTATTTTTTCTCTTTCTTTTTTTAAATAGCATTCCTGGGACCACCCGAAGTTAATATCAGTTCCTGTCTAAACTGCATAAATGTCACCATAAAGATGCCAACCTCTCACTTCAGAGCAAATGGAAAGTTACTGCCTTTAACTGATATATATGAAAATCTTTATTACGGTATAACACTGAAAACACTTGATGGAGAGCATAAGGTAAAAAGACCTTTTTGTTTTATTTGTGCTTTAGGGGAGAAGTACAGAAAACATAAAATGGCTCTGATGGTTAGCAGATTTACAGAAGCAAATATGTGAATAGAAGATACTTAGAAGAAAACAAAGGCAATGGCAAATGTAATCTTAGCTTCCTTTTACTGCAGAGTAGCAGGCCTAGAAGAAGAATACTAGTTGTCCTGTATCCTTACTTGAAATAAAGCACAGGGCACTGGCTCAAGTGATTATTCTCTGGGTAGACAAGGGAAAGACAGTTTAGCAGAAACTACTAGCAGATATATGCACAGCTGATAAGAAAATATGTTCAGAAAGCAGTTCAGTAGTTTTCTGTCAAACTGGAAAAATATATCCAGTTAGTTTCTGAAACAACCTATTCTGGGTCTGGTACTGTTTGTTTGTTTGGTTTTTTTTTTGTGAGGTAGATAGGCATGATTAGAACTTACAATGATCCTCAAAAAATGGAGAAGTAATCTTAAAATAATGGGAGTTAATTCAATAAGGAGCAATGAATTTAAGAATAATTGTCTGTAATAAGTAGAGTGGTAACGCTACACAGGCAGCAGTTTTGCCAGAAAGGATGAGAGCATTTTCTAATATTACAGGCTAAACATGACTCACATATTGTTGAGAGATAAAAGAATCATATTTTTATGTACTCAGTAGTTGTAAAGCCGACCCACCCTGCAGCAGTCTGGGATTCAGAAGAGGCACTGGACCAGTTGAGCAGGATCCAAAATGGAACAATGAGGCCTGGGGGGGGATCCTGACACATGGTGTCTGTGAGGAAATTCTGGAATAATAGGAGGCCGCTTAGTGTAATCAAGCAAAACACAGTTAGAGGCCAGAGCCTCTGAGTATGTAGACATTTACTACAGAAAAGGAGGAAATAAACTCTTCACTGTGACCGTGATCAAACCCAGTGAAATTGGCCGTTGTACAGACTTTAGGTTAAACATCGAGACACACATTAATACTTGGGCTGGCAAAGCACTGAAATAAGTTGCCTAACTAGAGCATGGACTAACTGTACTGGAAGTTTTGAACAGCTGGTCAGAGAGGTACCTATTGGGAATTTAATCTAACTCATTCTGCCATGAGTCACAGAAGGAGAACCACAGCTTGCCTGCCATCGATATTTTTCCCCTGATTTCTGAATTGGAATATCACTTGCAGTTTCAAATATGTAGAATTTGTGAAATTACTTCAAGAGGACATGTAGTGACCAACAGTTGGAGACAGAAGGCAATTTATCTTTGATAATATGATATTTCACAAGCAGGTGTAAGGTAGACATCTTGACATCAGCTAGAACTAGAGATGTAGTTGTCTAGGTAAAATGCTGAGTTGCTGTGTCAGTTTTTGCAGTTTAATGTGCTACTGCATTTCTCTGAAACAGCCGTAATGTTTTATCAGTGGCTGGGGATCTTCTTTTAAGCAAATAGCTAACTTTAAAACATTGTCTTTCATGGCAGAGGCCACATGAGAAAACTACTCAAGAAATTTTTAGTACTGTCATTGAAGATTTGTATCCAAATAGAAATTACTGTGTGTCTGTTATGGTCACTGCGTTTCTAAAGAAATATGGCATCCCATCAGCCTGGAAATGTGTAACTACAGACTCTGTAGCTAAACAAGGTAACTATGCTGTGGCGTAGGAACGGATTGTCTGACTTGATTATGTGCATGTGTTTGCTTTTTGCATAGGAAGATTTACAAGTCAATCCTAAAAATAATAAGAGAGGAAGTAACTTCCAAGTCATAAATGTTGTGGGGATTTGTAAGTGAAGTATAAAAACCCATCCACTTTGGGGCTATAAAACTACTGTTAATCCCGTGAGTCATACAAATCTCCACTAATTGCCTAAGTAGTTATCAAAGATGGTGCAATTTCTTCTTTAATTCCTGAATCTAATTTGAGATTTGTTATGTTTTGACTTTGGACCAGATGACCTCCAGAGGTCCCTTCTAACCAAAATTATCCTGTGATTCTAAATAGCTGTTCTGAATATGAAATGTGGTTATTGGAAACTTCATTCATGTATGTTTTGTTTTTTTCATTTGCAGATTATCATATAGTTGCAATCGCAGGTGCTGTATGTTTTTCACTGATGTTAGCTGGTGCCCTGAAGTTTATGCATGCAGGAGGTTATATTCTTCAAAAGAAATCAATTCCACATACCTTGGTATGTAATAATTCCCGTATTTAACCTTCTTGGTTGGGAGGAGGTTACGATCTGAAATTTCTAATCCTGTGCATTTAGGTACAAGTTATGTAAACACATATGTTTTAATCTGCAGTTTACCTATGTCAAAGGTAGTCTGTAGGTTGCTAAATTCTGTTCTGTGGAACAAGTATTCATTCTTTTTCAAAACCATTTCTTGCTACTTCTGTGACAAGTTACTAACAGAGATAGAGATATGATCACCGCACCCTGCTCAACACTTGTCGGGCTGTACCTGGAGTAGTGTCCAGTTCTGTTCCCCACAGCGCAAGAAAGGTGCAGACAGACTGGAGAGGGTCCCAAGAAGGGCCATGAAAATGAGCAAAGGGCTGGAGAACCTGCCCTGTAAAGAAAGACTGAAGGAGTTAGGTCTTTTTTCCCTGGAGAAGAGAAGGCTCAGGGGGTACCTCATTACCGTATTCCAGTACTTAAAGACTGACTACAAACAAGCAGAGGGTCTCAAGACAAGGGGAAATGGGTACAAGTTGCACTGGGAGAAGCTTCATCTTGATATAAGAAATTAATTTTTTACAATGAGAACAATCAATCACTGGAACAACCTCCCCAAGGATGTGGTAGAGTCCCCATCACTGGAGGTTTTCAATATGTGATTGGACAGGGTGCTAGATGATCTCATCTAGGCTCCCTCTCCCACAAAAGGTTGGACCAGGTGATCTTTCGAGGTCCATACTGACCTGGGCTGTTCTACATTTCTATGAAGTTAGAACGGGACAAGCAGTAGTGAAGGGGGAACCCCCCCACACAAAGTAACTTTAAATGAACTCTTTATGGTACACAGAAGCAGGCCAGGTCCTACAGCAGAGCACCCAGCATAGGACAATTAACCCCTTGCCCTTTGAAAATTACCTTATATGTAAATCCTTCCTGCAACAGACAAATTTATTCTGCTATCCGAGCCAGGGCAATAACTCCAAAACAAAAAACTCCAGTTTTAGGTGAAGTGCACAGGGAGAAGGCCTGTTCTCCACCAGGAAGGATGCTCTGAAAACATTCCGTTTTCAAGCATTAAGCAGTTTCTGGCACATTTTGCCTTCTTTATTTCATGCTGGAGCATTGTACTCCTCTATAAGAACAAAACCAATTACCTCAATATTTTTCCATTTATTACACCAAAAATCAGAGCATTGCCTGAAGATCTGAGGATAGACAGGTCCCTGGTTGCTGGAGTTTAAAGGCATTTTGAGAGATTCTTCAACTGAAAGAAAATGTTTTAAGCTTGCCTTCAAGGTCTTTTATCACGTTTCCACAGGAAAGCAAGCTGAAAAGACAAAAAGTCACTTTAAGACCCAGTTAGGTATGGTTTTATGTCGTGATTTAACCCCAGCTGGCAACCAAGCCCCACACAGCCACTCACTTACTCCCCACTGTGGTGGAATGGGGGGAGAGAATCAGAAGGGTAAAAGTGAGAAAACTCATGGGTTGAGATAAAGACAGTTTATACAAGTAAAGCAAAAGCCACGCACACAAACAAAGCAAAACAAGGAATTCACTCACCACTCCCCATGGGCAGGCAGGGGTTTAGCCATCCCCAGGACAGCTGGGCTCCATCATGCGTAACGGTGACTTGGGAAGGCAGATGCCATCACTCCAAAAGTCTCCTCCTTTCCCCAGCTCTATATGCTGAGCATGACGTCATACGTTACGGAATATCCCTTTGGTCAGTGGGGGTCAGCTGTCCCGGCTGTGTCCCCTCCCAACTCCTTGTGCACCCCCAGCCTCCTCGCTGGTGAGATGGGGTGCAAAGCAGAAAAGACTTTGACTCTGTGCAAGCACTGCTCAGCAACAGGTAAAACATCCCAGTGTTATCAACTCTGTTTCAGCACAAATCCAAAACACAGCCTCATACCAGCTACTGTGAAGAAAATGAGTTCTGCCCCAGCCAAAACCAGCACAGTGTATTGTTCTGTAGTGATGCATAAAAAGGGCCTAGGGTTGGGACTTTTGGTCTCATTATCCCCAAACGATGGGCCAGTTTATTTAGGCACATCTGAAGAAGAAAAGAGTCACTGTTGGTGCTCCAAGACATTTTTGTTGTTTTTTTTTTTTTTTTCTAAAGCTATGCTTCATGGTTATTGTCCGCAAAAGGTGTCAAGGACAGCATGTGAGAAGTGCTAAAAGTTCAGTAGCCTGCTAAGAGGGAGATCTGGGTGGTTAGAAATGATCTCACGCACAACAAATAAGAGCTTACTCTCAATTCACCTCAACAAGGAGACAAAGGGCAGACCATCAAAGACCTTCCTAAAGATGAGACGCTGCTTTGAGGAAGCAGTCTTCAAAGCATGTTGTTTCTCAGGAAACCGGAGTCTGCTTCATAACATCAACAGTAGCTTCTCATTCAAAAGAAAAATCATCTTTACTGAAATCAGCTATACCTTGCAGGTCTCCAACCTTCCAGTTTCACAGGTATCTCATACCATAAATTGGGATGCAGTTATGTGTGGCTATGTCCCTGCCAGAAGTATCCTAGCGGTTAGTTCCAGAACTGTTACTGGGAAGTTCAGGGTCACTTCTCTGGATAGCCTGATGTCTGTCATCCTTCTCTAGTCTCAGTAATGATTTATTACTGTATTCTGTTATAAACAGTTATTAGTGAGAAGGATGCCTGATAGTAGAACAATTAGTGGAGAAAAAAAAAGGATATTCATATGCAAGTTATCTCTGCTGGAATGTAGAGCTGGCATGGTATCTTAGAAACTAACTCCTGGTCCAGGCTGTTAAGATCTGACCAAATATTGGAGTTGGATGAAAACAAAAAGCTAAGGAAAATAAACAATATAGCTCTAGAAGAAAACTTACTCAGGGTGGGGTTAGGGGGAAGGCTCGGAATGTACATGAGGCAAACAGTACCTGCATCACTTTCCAAATGCTAAGGTATTCTCAGGAGTCACATATAGTGATTGGCAAAAAAGTCTATGACTAAGGAAGAGTATTTAAGGAAGAAAGAAAGGTAATGGTAATATATGACTCAAATTGACTGTCTTTGACTTTTTCTGCTATCAAGTGTCATGTTCAACGTTTGAGGAAGCCAGTCCTGAGTCAGCTAATTTTTTATTTTATTAGAAGTGACTGAACTGCCACTAAATTTCAGGCAAAAATAACAAGATTCCTGGGACTTGTTTCTATCCATCTTTGCTTGCTTGCTTTTTTTTTTTTTTTTTTTTTTTTTTTTTTAATAGTCTCTGACTTCTTTTGCATTTAATTCTATGGTGTTTTTCGGATAAGTATTTTCCATTTTCTACAAACATATCCAGAGCAGATTGGTATCAGCTTTTTCTAAGACTTCTTTCCTCATGTTTCTGTGGAAATGCTATGTCATTACCTTCATATCCCTAAGACTGCTGAACATGACTTTGTCAAGTAGTGTCTAAGGTTAATTTTTTTATTGCCAACATTTTTCCCCAATGCTTTGAATTTTTGGTAGTCTTCAGAAGTGCAGAGTGAAACTGAGAAAATGAGACTCAGGATGTTATGTAGTTCATTGCTTCAAATGGCACACTCCTAGAGGACATAAAAATTGATCATCCATGTAAGGCTTCACTTTTGCATGGTAACTGCAGGAGCTAATAGAGAGTTGCAAGACTCACCTCAGTTTCAAGATGTGTTTCTAAAATAAGCTTTTAGTCTTAGAAAGGTATCTCAAACATCGGAAATAAAACATTCCATACCTGACACTGCTTGGCACTAGTGTCATTTCTTTGAGGCTGTCTAATGACATGTGCCTTGATTTGTTGTGAAGGCTGTCATGTTTACAGGAATGGATAAGAGAGACCAATCCTAGATGCCCTGAACTCTGCAGAAAAAGCCAAAAATGTGGCACAGAAGGAATCATTTGTTTGACAACCTCATGATTTGGGGTATTTTTTTCATATTTTTCCTCTGTTTGTGTGCAAATCTGGCTGATTTTTTTTTAATACACTTTGCTCTTTTAGGTATTCTTCGGGACATTAGCCTATTCACCTTGGACATTTGAATCTGAAGAAATATCCTCTATAGAGATCATTTACAAAGAGGTCAAAAAAAGAGCAAATGAATCCAGGGGTGGTGTCAGTGATGAAGATGACAGTGATGACAGTGACAACGATGCCATAAGTAATCATGACTATACAAGGCGTGAGATCATAAGTAGAGTACCTCATTCCTCTGATGTGCCAAATGTATTCATGCAGTACTCTCTAAATGGTACATGTGATGACAGCAGCAGCCAGACAAGTGAAAATCCAGATGCTGAGCCGGAAGATTCTGAAGAGCTTGAAATGGACATGGAAGAAGACAAAGACATGGGTAGTGGGTTACTTAATCCTTTCTCTGAGGTAAATTATAACTATTCTTCTAGGCAAAGGAACAGTGCTTGCTTTACCATTAACTTAAAAACTGTGCTGTTGGGAACCTCTGAAGAGAATGTGAATAGTTCTGCAGCTCTTCTTTCTTCCCAAGAAGATGCAATTGACTGGCAATGTACTCGTGCTTTTGAAGGAAAACTCCTGGATGACACAGAAAGTGTGCAGGAAACACATTGTCATAACAGCTCTCATGAATGGCAAAATTCCTCTCATTCTTCTGATGAACATGACTCATCAGATTCAGATATGGACCAAAAAAACGAATACATAAGAAGATAAGTGAGAACCACTATTGTTTTATAACATACAGATAGATATTGTCAGTTTTTATTTCTGTATTCAACATACAAATCTTGTCTTTTTGTTAACATTCTGTGAGTGTATGCCTGAATATTTCTCTGATCTCTCCAGGTTGTTCCAGGTATGGTTCAGGTTTGATTATCCACAGAGGAACAAAAATGACTCTTCAGATGCAAAAGAAAGAGTAGATATTTCATTTTGACAGTGGGTCATACCTTTTAGCTGTTACAAGTGAAAAGGTAGTTTGCAGTACAGGGAGCTCTGAGTGTCTTGTCTCTCAACTAGACCACTTTTTTAATTTTCTTTTTTTATTCTTTAACTCTGTTGATAGATTACTCTGAAACCTGTTTTGCTGGATGGATTGCTGTATTTAAGTCAGTGAGCTGATTTCTACATTTGTGCAGAGAAAGCTGATCAAGTGAAATAATGGGGGCAGAGATAAGAATATACAGCTTACGGAAGAGTTCCTCTTACTGTGAATCAAGGCATTAAATACAGCTTTTTATATTTTTTTCATATAATTTTGTGCTATTATTGAATATTACACTTCTAAAAAAATGTTTTTATGACATTTGCTACAGTGTACAGTTATACTTCAACATTTGGGATTCATAAAAAGAAAATTTTTCATATCCCTGTCTCAGTTTTTACTGTGGCTCCTACATGCCTGTGATAAGCTACGTGAGTTAGTCTGCTAAGAATTTACACCTTATCAGAAGGCTTTTAGATATCACATAGCTAAAAATCCCAGCTTCCTTCACCTCCTCTTGATCTGCTTAGGTATTGCTTTTCAGCTGCCGAGCAGTTTCTGGCTGCCATGGGTGGCAGTCATTCTTTTGGTCAGGATAGCCACGAATCATTTCTAAGGTGCTAGAATGTGTTCTGCTGCTGCATTACTGTGAAGAATGAAATAGATGTAAGTACCTGGCAGCTTGGATCTTGACAAGCTGATTATCTGCAGATTTATGCATCTGCAGAATTAGTGGATGAAACCTGCTCGTGCTGGCCCCATAACGGTGCTGTTTGCACAGTGGGGTTGGTGTGTACCTCTCCACAGTGGGGGAAGCCAGGGGCAGCACTGACACGTTAGCGAAGGCTATGGGACTGTGCCCACCCCAGGGAAGGCCAAACCTGCCTTGTAGCCTTGTTTAGTAACAGGAGGTGACAAATGGGCCAGAAACAAATGTATTGAACCCTTAGAAAGAGCTGATATTTTCAGTCAGCAACAGTAATAGCTTGAGAAAGAACCCTTTTTACTGTGTGAATAATAAAACTACACCTTCCTTCCACCAACTTTATTCTGGTTTTGACTGGGGACGCTGAATGCTCTGGCAGAAGTAGTAGCATTGACACCTTTGGTGCAGTCCAGGTGCTGAAGTCGGAAGAGAAACCTTTCCTCACATTGCCTGCAGCTGCAATTTCACTCAAGAACAGGTTTGACACTATGCATGATCTGATGTCTGTTTATGCGTTATTTATGTGAACCTCCCATCGCCTGCCTTCCCAGCTGGCAGCCTGTACGCTGAAGATGTTCGTAGAGAGATCATGAGTGGCCAAGCACCCAGGCATCGCTAATACATTTTAAAAGACGGCACCGATGAACGGCTTTTCAAACCTGCGGGGAAGGTTCAGCGGCCGGGTAAACTCTTTTCTGGAAAGGGGAACGCAGCCGTGGCGAACGGGGGAGCCTCTGGAAATGCGGTGGTGAGCCGACCACCGGGGCGCGGATGATGTTGCCGGTGCTCGGAGGCAGCCAGCCTCGCTGAGGGCGGGTGACGCCTCGCTGAGGGCGGGTGAAGCTCCGCCCCGCCCCGCCCCGCCCCGCCGCGGGAAGGCGGAAGGGTTTCGAGGCGGCCCCGCTCACCCGCCTGAGGGCAGCGGCCGGTGCGATGGCGCGGCGGCGCCGGCACCTCCGCTGCTGAGGGAGGCTGGCGCCGGGAGCCGCCATGGCCGCCGCCCGCCGGTGCGCCCTCTGCACCTGCCTCCTGCTCTGCGGTGAGTCCGCCCCGGGCCTGGCGGGGGGTGCGGCGGAGGGGGCCCGGCCCGGCCCGGCCCGCCCGGGCGAGGGATCGAATACCCGCCTCGCCGCGGTGTGAGGGCGGGCGCGGGGGCCGGGGCCCGCGGCGGGAGCGAGGGTCGCTAGGGGCGGCCGGCCGGCTTCCTTCTCCAGGGCCGCGCCGCCCCTAGAGCCTGGCGGCGCCCAGCCGCCCCCCGCCCGCCCTGCGCAGGGGCCCGGGGCTGGAGGCGCGGAGGGTCCCTCGGACCACGCGGGGTTTTGTTTTTGGTTTGTTTTTTTTTGGTTTGTTTTTTTTCTCCGCGAAGGCTGTGTCTGTGCTGAGAAACTGGAACTGCCCTTTTCGGTTTTGGACACTTGCGCAAGTCCCAAGGGTGAAACAGGCGTGCGGGAGCGATACCGCGCTCTTCCAGGCACCGTCACCGCGGGTGTAGCTGTGCCCGCGCAGCCCCGCGCAAACCGGCCTTTCCCGGCCGCCCCGGGCACGGCCACCAAAACTGGCCCCCGCCGTGCCGCCCCCCAAAACAAGCTGTTCTCTGAGACCGTGATGTGAGCTGCGACCAAACCTTTCGTTTACAGAGTACAAACCCACAGAAGTATATTCTCATCTCTTTGGGTCCACAGTGCTGAATAAAAAAAACTTCACCTGGAGGCTTTTTGGGTAGAAAATGCTGCCGGGGAAGCGAGCCTTCAAAGGCATCGTGTGTTTTAACAGGAATTTACAAGCGTACTTCAAACCTTTGGAGGGAGCTCCCTCAAAGCACGGGCAGCACCCGAGGGAACGTCCTGGTCCTTCGTAGCCAGGACCACATCATGTGGGAGAGGAGAAATCAGATGCCTTGTACTAACCAGATTTCTCTTTCAGCTGTGTTGTTCACACTGAGTCTTTGTAGTCTGCTACCTGCACCCGTCTTCCTTAGTGTTCTGCGTACCTGGGATTTGGCAAGTGGGAGCAGGAGGCCAGAGGTGCTCCTGAAGGGCCGAGACCTCTGAAGGCGAGTGCCCGAGCTGGGCACCAGTGAGGGCCTGTACAACAGGGGCAGCATCTCTCACGGAGGTTTGGGTGCAGGGGAGCGAGCAACTTCTGCTTTTCTGATGTGAAGCACGTTTGCAAGGGTAACATTGTAGGAACTGGGTCCATGAAATAGTTTTCGTTTAAGCAGGTTTAGATTTAAAACTCATCTGCTACAAGTGGTTAACTGACACATTAATTTCATGTGCTTGTTCATCAACTATAGATACATAAAATAGGTTACATAGGTTTTTTTCTTAGAACTTACATCATTAGGTTTTACTGCTGTAACATTTAAGCAATAATCTGATCTGACCACATTTGTTTGCAAACCTCATGAAGTTCAACAAGGCCAAGTGCAAGGTCCTGCACATGGGTCAGGGCAATTCCAAGCACAAATACAAGCTGGGCAGAGAATGGATTGAGAGCAGCCCTGCAGAAAAGGACTTGCGGGTGTTAGTGGATGGAAAACTGACTGTGAGCCAGCAGTGTGCACTCACAGCCTAGAAAGCCAACCTTGTCCTAAGCTGCATCAAGAGAAGTGTGGCCAGCAGGTTGAGGGAGGGGATTCTCCCCCTCTGCTCCTCTCTGGTGAGACCCCACCTGCAGTGCTGGGTCCAGCTCCGGGGCCCCAACATCAGAAGGACACAGATGTGCTTGAGCAGGTTCAGAGGAGGCCATGAAGATGATCAGGGGGCTGGAACACCTTCCGTATGAGGACAGGCTGAGAGAGTTGTGGTTGTTCAGCCTGGAGAAGAGAAGGCTCTGGGGGGACCTTATAGCAGCCTTCCAGTACTGAAAGGGGGCTACAGGAAAGGTGGGGAAGGGACTCTATCAGGGAGTGTATGGATAGGATAAGGGGTAACAGTTTTAAACTGATGGAAGGTAGGTTTAGATTAGATGTAAGGAAGACATTATTTACTGTGAGGGTGGTGAGGCACTGGCACAGGTTGCCCAGAGAAGCTGTGGCTGCCCCCTCCCTGAAAGAGTTCAAGGCCAGGTTGGACGGGGCTTGGAGCAACCTGGTCTGGTGGAAGGTATCCCTGCCCGTGGCACAGGGGTTGGAACTGGATGACCTTTAAGGTCCCTTCCAACCCAAACCATTCTGTGATTTGATGATTATTTGTGTTGCAGTAACAGACCAAAATCTCTTCTATTTTAGTTTCAATACCAAAAATTATTTAAAAATAAATAAATCATAATTGTAATGGACTGTTTATTGATACTACTTTAGAGCTTTGTTTATTCAGTTTCAGTAAGGCAAACCAATTGTGTTTTCATCACTTGTGAAGACTGCCAATTAATGACAAGTTTATCTGTATGGTGTATTTAGTAGCTCTTGCCTTTGAAGGTACTTCTTGTTCATCTCTATTTTTCAAAAGGGCGGCTTAATGACAGAATGATTAAAGCATTTTAAATGGCAGTGCTAATCCATGCAGTGATGATATAAACATGCTTATGGTGGATTTTTTTAAAATTATAAATATTTAATTAATTATTTCAATCTTATACCCAGGTCTATATTCATGTTTGTCCTGGTTTCAACTGGGATAGAGTTAATTTTTCTTCTTAGTAGCTAGAATAGTGCTGTATTTTGGATTCAGTATGGGATTTGATATGAAAATAATATTAATAATACACAAATGTTTTTTTTATTTGTTGCTAAGAAAGCAAGGACTTTTCAATTTATGTCCTGCTAGTGTGCAGGTTCACAAGAAACTGGGAGGGAACATGGCCAGAGCAAGGGACCCAAACCAGCCAATGGAATATTCCATATAATGTAATGTCATGCTCAGTATACAGATGAAGGTTGGCCAGGAAGCTGACTCTCTCTCATCCAGGATTGTGGTTTCAGGATTTTCCCTCCTCTGGGATTGCTAGCCAGGCACGAATGGGCTGGGCATTTTATTTCAATTATTAAATTGTTTTTATCTCAACCTATGAGTCTCCTTACCTTTCCTCTTCCAATTCTCTCTCCCATCCCCTGGGGCAGGGGAGGATGAGCAAGTGGCTGCCTGGTGTTTGGCTGCCGTCTGGGCTTAAACAAAGAAAAATAAAAATAAAATATATAAAAAAAAAAACAACACCCAAACAAGAATCAAACCCCACACCCATGTTATTTCCATAGTGCTACTGGAGCACTAATAAAAATTTGATTTTGGCAATCTCAGTGAGAGTTCATGCACATAGCCTGATGGGCCCTAAGTCTTAGGCAGTAACAAGTCAGTCATGCATAATGAATGATGATCTCATAAAGGCTGTGCTTACTGGAAATCGTTGATGCTGGATGATTTGTTTTTGTTGCATTAGCTCAGAAGGAACAATACGCATCAGGAATTAAATTCATTATATTAAATCTGCTTTAAAAAATATGTATGAGGCAAGGAAGAGAAAGAAGGCTTTAAATATTTAAGTTTTGAATGACTGAGGAGTCACTGGAGGAACACATCCTAAAATGTTTGTTTGGTTTTGATTGCTCCCACAGTATCTGGAATGGTGCCAAAACCCCAAAATGCAAGAATTATTTCAGTTAATCTCCATAGCATTTTACAGTGGGATGCACCTAGATTTCACAAAGGGAATATAAGTTACACTGTACGATCTAAGAGGTAAGTTTGGGAGAGTTGTGCTTTCTTTAATTCACATTTTACAGCTGCGTGTGTTTGTGATTTATTTCCTTTTGTATGGGAAGATCAGTAGCTGTCCCTTTCTTTTAGCTTGTGAGAGGCTTATCTTCTGAGCTAAATAACAGGAGGCATTTTCTACACATTTCACACCCAAGGCGCCTTTGTACATAGTTTTTTTGAAACCAGAAACACATTTTAACGTCGGCTGTTATTAGCTCTGTGCATGTTTTTTCTCTATCACATAGCTGTTACCTGCGATTCAAGAGACATAGGCCTGCTGAGCATCAGGACCTTATCTGATCTTCACTCCAATGGCATTTTGTGCTCTGCCCCCAGTGCAGACAGCTTGCCTGCACCCTCGGTGGAAATGCCTGACGCACTGCATTTTCCGAGGTCTCTTTTTGCCGGTTTTGGCGGGTCGATTTAGCTTTGATTTGGTTTTGCCACTGTGTCCTTCCGAGTTGGTCTTTCCTGCTGGGCAGAGCATTCTGTGTGACTGTCCTGAGGAGGACGGCGGCCCCCCCAGCCCTGCAGCGACTCCCTGCCTCCCTCCCTGCCTCCCTGCTTGGCGAGGAATCCGCGCGATGGGCCAGAGGTCTCGCGTTCCTGCTGAAGGTTGAACTCTTTGGCCGAGACAGGGTGGGAGGTGCTACAGAGATGATGGCACCCACAGGCAGGTGCCTCCTGAGGAGAAACCCCCAAACCGAGGAAACAGGCCATCTTAGTCAAAAAAAAGATTTTTCTGGGTTCTGGTAGCAATTACTTGTTGATCATTATGTTCCTAGGTGGGCTTTTGATGCAAAACAGAAAGAATATTATATATTAAACAGTTCCCAGTCAGTGTCAGGCTCTGTTTTCTCTGGCTTTTCATTATATGCATGTCTTAAAGACAGCTCTGAACACAAAGTCTGAGTTAGACAGCAAAGCTGTGTGTAGCAATATTCTCTAATATTTGCAGACTTGTCTGATAACTACTGTCTGTTGAATCAAGTTTTGTAACCACTGTCAAGAAAAGGGTATTTACTGAAACATAATTTTAATCTCTAATTTTATCATGGATTCATAGATGCATATAAAATGCTTAATCATTGCTACACACTAGTAATCATGTTTCTTATACACCGGATCTAATTTTTCTTGTGCGTGAATCAGAATTGGTTGCATTAACGGATATGCCACTTTTCCAGTTAATTGAGAGGAAAGGCATTTAGTCGATTATAATTTACACATCCAGTACATTTTATTTCTCTTCCATACAGCATCAATTTCCCTGGAAACACATATGAAAATGTCAGCACAAACTTGAGACTCACAGAGTGTGATGTCTCTTCCCTGTCCGCATACGGAGACTACCTGTTACAGGTCAGAGCGGAGTCGGAAAATAACCATTCAGACTGGGTGACCGTCAGATTTAAGCCAATGGATGACAGTAAGTCTTTTTCTAATCTTCCACAAAAAATATTGTCTGCTATTAATGCACTTTTAGAATTTAGCACCATAAGACATGCTATAGCATGCAGATCATTTTACATGTAATGGCACGGAACTATAAAATCTTAGTTGTAATACTGTCATTTTTGAAGGCAGAAGTTGCTGTCAGAAAGCATAGTAGATTTACTGTTATAGCTAGATGTTAGATACCTGAAACATCTTCTGAGGAGTTTTTCAGAAACTGTATATTTTCCCCTTAGAATAAGGATAATTTATATTTTTCAGCCAGGGAGAACAGATTCCTGTATATTTTAGGATTCAGACTTCTTATAAATCTAAATAAGTTCAATTACTTTCTTCTTCATTGCTGTGTCAGGCAAAAAGTTGTTTTTCTTTTTAATTAATGAATTTCACAGAGAAAGATTTAATAATTAGTCAAGAAATCTTCATTGCACAATATTGCTATTCTCTTAGTGAAGCTTTACAGTCTTTTGTGAGAGATGATTTAGACATTGCCTTGCGTTAGAATGCATAACAGAGATGTTAATCATGTTGCTGTCACCTGAGCTTGGGAATGACAGTGATATTTACCAATGAGCATCCTTTGCTTTGTACATTCTTAGTCCACTCATAAACAAAACCAAAATTACTTTAGATTATGCAGTTAATGATACCTGTGGCTTTTTTCTCCTCACAGCTGTTGATACAGAACCATGCAGGAAGTTTCTGTTACACCTCATCTTTGAGGAAAAACTTTTTTCAACCCTTTTTTTTTTTCTTGTTCTGCCTTCATTTGCTTGAATTTCAGCATTCCGTTCCTTGGATTTCAGAGTGTAGTTTTACAGTTTATAGCCTGGTTTTTCAAAATGCTTTTACTGGTTATCTCTCCAAAAGTATAATGTTGATGTAATTTAATCTGCCTAGGTCAGAAGCACTGAAATATAGCATGGGGAAAAACAAACAAACAAACAAAACCCAAACCCCAAAACCCAACATTGCAAGTACAAATTACAGCCAATAGGAAATGTAATACAAAAAGTATAGATGGATTTTGGATTTTCAGAGTAGAGAGCAAACTTGTAAATCATTAACAGAGTTGTAGTTTGACATACATTTGAAAGAGCATGTGGCCTTCAGAGCAGACTGGGCTTTGGAAAGGCAGCTTATTCCTGAATGGGAAAATCTGCGTATACAGCTACCTGGAAAGAAAGACCTGGGAGTACTGGCCAAATCTCTGGGGAGGACATAAGGACTTTTAATGTTGTCATAGCTGATCTGAGCAGAGCATTATGATAAAAATATCTGATATTCCTTTCTGTGTAATTATTTCTGCTAGTGCTTTTTTTATAAATTCCACACTGTATTGTGGGAATAGCCTAAGAAAATCAGAGTAACCAAGACCCTCCTCACATTATTTTTTGTAAGTTCAACAATGTATTCATAAGCATTAGATGAATGTATGATCCAGCAATCGGGGGGGGGGGTATTTTTAATTCTAGAAGCACATATTTCTAGAGGAATGCAAAATTGTCTGTATATTGAGCTCTTCCTTTCTTAGACATTTTATAGCATGACTGTAGCCAGGCAGAACATTAGTAGAGGCAGCTGAGGCAGAGTTGCTTACTGGGATCATAGGAGACTTTAATGGAGAAGTCATTGCCAACACAACGTAGTTGATAACTAAGATACTCATGAAATAATTTAAGTAGTGGCACAAAAACATAATAAGGACAAGCCACTTACAAAATATGAGAATGTAATATTCAGTCTAAGGAGCACAGCTGGTAAGACATGCAGAAATAATACAGATATTTCTGTTTTTCAAAACGATCACTTCACTAGAGGATCTACTCAGAAGAGACAAATGTTGTGGCAGCTTGGCCCAGAAGGAGAAGTGAGTAATAACCTATAGAAGTAGTTCTTCCTCTCCCAGGAGTCACCACAGCTGGCAAAAGAGAACTGAGTTAATTTAGTGTGTGAGAAATTTAGTCTGCAATAGTGTGCTATTTAACTGCAAAAATAAATCCCTTTCAAGATCAGTTCTATGAGGAAATTATTTATTTATGCCTAACCTATGAAAGGAAATTACTTTCTTCTTATAGATAAAATTATTTAAAGCGCGAATTGTCATGGGTTGTATAAAAATGTCAAATTGAAAACAATGTGAAACTGAATTCCATTCTTTCTTCTCTTCCACCATTCTAATATATAGCAGTCATTGGGCCACCTGATGTAAAAGTGAAGTCAGAGTCTGGGTCCCTGCATGTGGATTTCATAGGCCCTTTTGCTGAACATGAGCATGACAAGTGGCCTCTAAAACAATATTATGGCTCGTGGAATTACAGAATACTGTACTGGAAGAAAGACAGCAATACAGAGGTAACTTTGCTTCCTGAGCACTGTGACTCCATGGCTTTGATTTATGCTTTTCTTCATAAAATACCCTGCTGATGAAGTTCTGAAAGATAATGGTATTGAAGTAAAAATGTATCTCTACTAATTACAGTGTAATAAAGTCTAGGCACTGCAACTGCTATTCAGAGCAAATGGCAGATAGCTGTGTAGTTACACAGTAGCAGGGATGTAACTTGCTCTCTCCGTTGTTAGAATACCGGCTACATTATGAGAGTCTATGCCCTCAGTTTAGTGATGTTTATCTACGATGCTGTCTTCCCCACCAAATCTCTCTATTTCACACATACAAGCAAGGGTAAACTTAGAAGCTGTAACATCAGCACTATTTGTGATCATGGCAATAACCTGAGTTAGATTCAAATCTCATGTCATTCAAGTATTAACTCTCTTCGTGGGACTTTGGGCTTTGAATACCACCATGGATGAGGCCTTATATTAGCTCACCTTCACCTCTTCAATTTCTGTCAGTTGTAATTCACTTGCTTCCTCTCATGGGCAGCCTTTTCCACAGCCAGATATGTTACTCAGCTCAAAAGCCTTCTCCATACAAAATGCATGGAAAAAGATCATAAATAATATATTAATTATAGGGCCATGAGTTCTATTACAGGAAAAAAGGAAACCATATACTGGAAGATACCAGTCACAGTATAATTACTGCTCTGTACAACTGTACAATTTTCATATAATAGGGATCTACTACATATAATTCTGGTTTGTATTTGTTACCCTGCAAAATTCTTTTGCATTCAGTGCCAAAATACGAGGAATCATAATTTCCCACAAAACAGTCTGGTTTTCAATTCCCAAACTAAAAGAAATTAATGTATTTCTGCATACGGGATGCAAACTCAGGCGGATTACCAGAGAAAGTGGGAACTTCAGAGAGAATCTGTGCTTGTAACACTTCAGAGTTGAAGTCTGGGAAATTTCATAGGGATCAAATTAGCAAAAGGCATAGTTTATGTAACTTCACAGGTTGTTTTTTGAAGTGGATGCTTGCTCAAAATATTGAAACCTAGCTATATAGTCTTTTCATGCCTGAGAAAGAATCTGTTACTATATAATGGGGCATGTTGTAGGGATTCCTATACTCTGCAGGGACCATATAGTTGCAGGGACATAACCAATCATGCGTCCAAACAGCAAGTTGCATCTGCTGCCAGTCATCTAATAGCTTCCACAAGACTTTTTTTTTTTTTTTGTCAAGATCATCCATCCTACTTGCTCTGTCTCAAATTAAATTACATTTGCCTGTGACAGCACTCTTAGTTGATCTCATTTGGTTAAATAATTGTTTCTTTCCGCAAACAGATCTCATTGATCACATCTCTGTAGGCCTCTTTAGCCTAAAACTTCATTAATGCTTCTAGAAGCAGCCATAAAGTCAGTGGTGTGAATGGTGTCACACTTTAACCATAGGCGAAATCAATGTAGAGTTATCAGTTATGTGGCACAGGCAGGGCATTTCATTCTGCCTTTAAAAGCCTTATTCACATTGTGGCTAGAACTGCTAGGATTTGACCTACTAAATGTAATTTTAATTACTTGTCTAATGTGCTTTTCAAATTTTTTGTATTCTTCTCTGTTATTAGGTAACTCACGTAGATACTAAACATAACTCTGAAATATTATCTCAGTTGGAGCCATGGACAGTATATTGTATTCAAGTGCAAGCAATTATCCCCGAGTGGAACAAAACAGGGAAACTGAGCAGAGACCTTTGTGAGCAGACAACCCACAACGGTAATACCTGGTGCATCACAACAGGACGTGCACTGTAGGGAACTGGGAAATGTGCAAAGCCATTCAAAATAAAAATCAGTGTAATGTGTAAACCTTCCAAAACCGGATGTGTTTGTTACTGTGATATTGTTTGGTGGTTAATAGGTGTGTACCTTTGGAGTGGAGGAATTGGAAATGAAGTGGAAACTACCAGCCATATGGCACCGATGGCATGATGTTTTACTTCGCTGCAGAGGCCTCTGCATTCCTCATGCTCTGAAAATCAGAACTAAATGGAGCATAGGCTCTTCTCTGATCACACTGTGTGTCTGAATTTCTTTTACCATCAGCTTTATTCATTATCCTATGAAAGTCTTTGTTCTGTAACTTTGCAACTGAAAAAGGAATTGAACTGTGTGTTGCAGACTGTTTCATCTGTGGTGATGTTGCTAGTGTCTGTCATGAGGCTAGGCCATGATGCTCTTTCTCTGTGAAACACAGTAGTTATTAATCAATAATATGAACAAATATGTTTGTTTAGATACTTTCCTTCTCATTTTCAAGGCAGTCAAGTTCCAAAAGCACTTTTCTTTCCAGCCATGCCACCTTAGCTGCTGACTGTGAAGTCCAGCAACAACCACCGTGTGGTCTGAACCTGTTGTCTTAGCAGGGAGCCTCATATCCCTAGTTAAGGATGGGGTCCTAGATACTGTCTTTTTCACAGGCATAATGTCTATTTCAGCTAACTTACACCCTCAGATAACTTGTGGAAAATCAGAGGCAGAGATACAAGTTAATGAGGAAACCATCTGGGGGAAGCCTGGGGAAGCTACTGGGCTAACTTTTTTCTCATGAAATATTTCCTCATATATTTTTCCTACATGTAGATTATCTGCATGCACTGCAGTTGAACTGCAGGTGGGTTTTGGTAGTGGTGTTGCTGGTTAGTTCATGGCTAGAACAGTGCTTAGTATATAGTGATGGATGGACACATCTTCATTCCCATTGCCTGTTGTGAAATCCTCATGCATGATATAATTTTTTTAAAGGCTCAGTAGTTTAGAATTTTGCAGACTTTCATCCCCTGCCGTCTTTACTTTACAGCCATTTTTACAGATTTCTTTAAGGGAAAAATGGAAGTCTATGCTCTGGTAGTGTACTGTCAACTCGTACACTCCTGAAATACCAAAGAGTGTGCAATAGCTTTTTACATTATATCACTTTGTGGATGGTTCTGTTGGTCTTTTTTCCTCTAATCATTTGTCTAGTATTGCATGTAGAATCACCAGTGTGTGTAACTCTGAATGTCTAAATATGGTGGCTTGTAAGCTTACTTTATTGAGAACTTCCTCAGCCTATCCAGACTAAAAATTTAAGAGCTAAGAGGTATTTTGCATCTGGAAACAAAGACTTATGTTTGCAGTTACAATTTTGTAATAGTTTGGTGTTTTTTTAAAATCCACAGAGAAAGTAGTAAATTGAAAAGGATATATGCAGAAACTAATAATCAGTGTTCTAATTTTTTTTTTCTTGTCTCTTGCAGGTGTAACTCCTGTGTGGATAATTGTGACCATTCTTATAGGATCAATGTTGGCCGTTGTAATATTCGTTCCTATTTGTTTCTTTTCCTTTTTGTATCTATATCGACTCACCAAACATGTTTTCTGCCCTTCATTTATTTTCCCACAACACCTGAAAGAGGTTTGTTTTCTACCTAACACAATTAAAATCAGCCTTTTCAGCAGAACCACCTGCTTTTCAGGGGCTCCCTGTGCCAAAACTTTTAGAGCTTCTTTTATTTTGTCTTCTTTCATTTCCACCTGATTGTTCACCATCTCTAAAGTGCAGGCTATTCTGAGGGGATTTTAGACTGTAAAGATCAATGCTGAATCTCTGTTGTTATATAGTTGTTGTGTGTGGTAAAACTTGCTCTTCTGCCAAACATAAAAAGCTGTTCAAATAAGGGTAAATGATGAAGTTGTGAACTTTGGAAAAAGCTGACAAAGGAAGGTACTTTTCAGTGTGAAAAAGGTAGTGGAAGTTAGTTCATTTAATATTTAATTTCTGGCATAACAAGGTCATAAATTTTGCATGAACGTTGCCTCAGTTTTTTTCATCAAGTTCTGTGGTGCTGCATAGACATAAGTAAGAAGCAGTGAAATTCCTTTTGTAGTATACTGATGTATAAACTCTAAAATACTGTCTTTTTGAACTGTTTTGCACAGAATGGTCCAAAATATTTAAAAGCTGAACAGTTGAAAAACTTGTCACAGACTTTTATTACTAATGCAACTGCACAATTTGTAATGTGAAGCTTTATATGGCTTAGAAACTGGATGTTTTCTTTCATTTTAAAATGAGAAAATAACAGGTGTTAACCTTCAGTTCCTCTTTTTTGATAGCCAACAACTGAGACATCTGTCTCCCCTGTCTCATTTTAGACTTAAAATTGCACATTTGTTCTGCTGAAACAAAGTTCTTTCACAAATACAATAATGAGTTTTAACTTAAGTAAAGAATGTAGTGAAGTCTGAAAACTCAAGATAAAATGAGAGCAGAATGTTAGCTGTTACTGTTGGGGAATACCACTGGCACTGTTACCCATATAGCAACATAAAAAGGCTGTATCAGAATCTCCTCAAATCTGATCAATATGGGATGTGGTCAAAATTCATTTTGCTCACAGGTTTCTCACAAGAAAGTGAGAATTTTCATTTTGTTATATGTGGGTTATAGTGGTTAATCACAGTAATCAAAGTTCAGTTGAGCTTACCTAAAATGACATTTATCAAAGACAGTGGTTTCGGTACATGAACATTTGAGATTGCAAGTTATTGACAGAACATTTCAAATCACAGTTTGATAGAAAAAGGTCTAATAGTAATAATATTGGTATTTATTGTTGTAATTACAGTGAACAGGACTCCTGACAGACCAGCTTGTTTCTTAAACAAAATGCACTAAAGTAATAAACAGGGGTCAGGTCACAAGAACAAAATGCAATTGTTCTCTTCCAGCCACTACCAGTAAAATGAACTGCCACTTCAGCTGCCAAAATGAGCGGTTGACAAGTTGTTACTGTGTTGAGTAGGTGTGCTGTTCTTGTGCTGACATTCAAAATACAGTCATGACATCCTGCAAAGTCCGTGTTGATTCTTGAGGCTGGTTTCATCTTATCAATAGAATGGGGAGTGGGAGGAAGTTGTAATATTTCGGTACCAAAATTAAGTCATCTTTCTCACTGAACTGCATAGTCCCGCAAATCTCCCTCCCTCTCCTTTACCTGACTAAATGGTTATGGTTTATGTTGACATTTAAAGCATCACTATTTGATGTCTGAGCAGACAGCTCTCTGAAGTGGCAGGAACAATTCACATCTCTTGGAACTATTTGACAAATCTTTCTGCCAACTCCTTCACCTATGGTGAAGTCACCATTTTTAGTTTTTGCTTCCAAACAAAACCTAGGTATTTTATTTTTTTAAGAAAGTTTATAATGCAAAGAAGGCACTAACCCCTGGGGTATCTCCTTGCAGATACAGACACTTCCAGCTTGCTTTCAAGCCTTGCACAGGTTGTTAACACGAACAGGGAAGTTATTACATTGTCGCCACTCTGGGATCTCTAAGGATTGAGGAAAGCTAACTGATGTGTGGAAAACAATATAAAACATGTTTCTAATCAAATAGGATGATATGGCTGGTGCAGCCTAATTCTCATTTCCTCTTTCCTTCACAGTTTTTGAGCAAGCCTCCCAGTGGTTCGCAGCTTTTTTCTCCTTCCCCACAAGAAGAGCATCATTTTTATGACAAGCTAACAGTCATTTCAAAAGAATCCAAAAATCAGAGTGATGAGTCTGGGGATGAGGCCAGCAAGACATCAGAGCACCTTCAGGACTCTGAACAAGAAGATTCTGTTTCAAGAATAGTACCAGCTTCAGAAAAGGCTTAAGTGTACTCCTCATACTTGTCTTGGACCAAAAGAAAAGCAAATGGGCTGTTGAATTTATCCTCTTATTGCTGCATTCTTAAGACTGGAAAAATTCATATATGAAGATGTGTACACAGACTTCTGACAGAATCATATTATTTTTTTAAAGTAGAAGAAACATGATACGTAATTTTTGCCACTGTTTGTAGTGGCCCACTGTTAAGTTGTAGCAATACCTAGGACTGTACTATGGCAGTAATTTAAAAAGCAAATATATATATAATACTAATTAATTTAACTTTGATTAAATATTTATTGCAAAAGCTAATCAAAATGGCACATTGTGTAACATTTGTAAAAGAAAATCATATTTTGTAAAGAAAGACCTGATCTGACTTTTTTTTTCCTTAATGAGAAATTATGTGTATTTCTTAAGGATATCCCTACTGGCATAATCTTTTTATTGAATATTTTTTTACTTGATGCAAAATTATAAAGTTATGATGGTATGAATTTAGTATGAATAAACCAAACACTCATACTCAGTGTGTTTTGCATTGAAAGGTGTTACTCATTCTACATTGCTAAGGATAATGGGAACATATCGGTACACTGCCAGATAGCTCCCTATGTTCAGGTATTGCTCAGTCCCCTAAGGCTCTGCCCTGCAGTTTCTATAGCTAATTAAATTTTGCCTACCTAATCCAAAGTCCACTGAAGTCTGTGAAAAAATTCGCAGCCCAAGTGGGAGTTAAAGTGTAGGTTCATTTTCTTTATCCACTGATAACGTATTCTTATTTCAAAAAAAGTAAATGCAGGTTGATATGACTCCTATGCTACATAATACAATCTTGCCTGCATAACCCTGTTCATGCATATGAGGGTTATGTCCACACCAACGCTGGGGCATAAAGTGTGGCCTTTGCCCTGTCTGCTAACTTTGTGAGTGACACAATTTTTTTTGTGCGTATTACTACATCAGAATGAGAGTGAAAAATGAAATCCTGTCTGCAAAATAACTTGCCATGAGCGAAACTGTGTGTAAATCACAACTTGATGTGGGAATTGCAAGATTTTTGGCAACGGTTTTGAGGTTTGTTAATTAATGTGTAAATATTCACTTCTTGGGAACTGTTGCAGGAAGAGAACATAAGGAGAACAGGCGTTGATCCTTTGTACCATCCAGCTCTATGTAATCTGCACATATTTTTTTTGCACTTTTAAATTTTCATTGTATTCAGGTTTGATGTGGAATATGGAAAAAAATGGGGAAGCATTTTCATTTTGGTTTTTAAGGCATTTTGTTTCATTGGTGCTTTCCTTCACCTCTCAGCAAAGCTGCTCTGCGAGCACTGATCCTAATGAAGACTGGTGTCCTGTGTCTCGTACACCTCTCCACTATAAACATTCAGCTCCCTGTGTGTTCCCTATCCCTCCTCCCACAGTAGCAGCTTCTGTATATTCTTTTTTCTTTCTTCTTTTTGCCTTTCAGAAAAGCAAAAACCACATAGCATAGCTTATATGACCAATTCATCTTCTAGTTGGCTGGCCAGCTGCTGTCAGAAGAGAAGAGGGTTGAGATTTCCCTGCCTTTTCCTCACTCTTTCGGTAGAGCTGCTTTCATCTATCCAGCTGCTGATTTTCGTGGAAGAGCATGAAGTTACTGTCTATCAAATGTGGCTGAAATCAATCAGCTGGTTCAAAGGTTATGGTGAGGGCACAGATAAGGCAGTCCCATGTGCTGTGCCACTTCATTACAGGTTTATTGGTAAGACAAATTGGGGGAGAGAAAAAAAATAATCTTGTTGATTCGGAGATACAGTCTTTTAAGATTAAAGCAGGAAGAATGAGTGCAAGAACATTGTCTCTGAGATTTTGGGAAGTTGGCTTTCCCCATTTAAAAAGAGGAAGCATTTTTCTTCATGCCTTTGCCAATACCAATTGTACTGTCTCACAGGAGGAGAGGGGAAGACTGTTTTTAGAACACTGCTTCCTCTTTCAACACATCCAGACACATGGGGCAAGGAAAGATTTGTCCTGTCCCCTTTGTTTGTTTAACTTCTCTGATATGGAAATGGTGTCTTTAAAGAAACAGCTGTTTTAAGTTCATGTGAGCCCATCTTTAACCTACTGCCTATATCATTAAAAAAAAAAGCCTTTATATTGTGAATTCCAAAATGAAAGATATATTAACATTCCAGCTGCACCAACATGAAATGGGAATGAATTCCCCAACTCTGTGTCTCAGTAGGTTTCCAAAGTTTCCAGAAAGTCCAGAGACCTCTATGATCCTAGCAAAAGTTCAGCCCTCAGTCATACCATGCTCCAGTTCTCTGAGGACATCCAGCTGACAGTGCTGTTGAACTACACCACTGCTAGTGTTATTCTAATGTAGATAACTTGGTAAATAAAATTAGGAGATTATATGCCACACAGAACAGAAATGAAGGCTCCAATGCAGAATATATTTAATAAAGATCATCCTGAAAGGGCAGAGAGACATTCTGTGAAATCTTGATTCAATTATCTAGTACCAGAAATCTTATTTCATGTAGAGCTAACCTTATAGTCGGGGCATCCTCTAACACTGATGTCTGCTTGCTTGTCTGCTCTCCGTTCAGTCATGTAAGCATCCAGTATGTGCATTTGTGCGGTGTAGCAAAGCATCATTTGTATTGCCGTTTATAAAGGAATTCAAAAGTAATGTTAAATAATGTTTTGACCTTGTGGAGGACTGTGATTAAGGCTTCATTGCTGACTTCTCACCTCAGATTAAATCACCTAGCTGCATTGTCCTTGTAATTTCCTCAGATCTTAAATGAGGACTATGGTACGCAGATACCATAGTGAGGGAAGAGACAGAAGACCCTTAAGTAAGCCGATGGACGTTGTGTGCATAATGACAGAGGAAGCAGGAGAGGGGTAAGGCCTGTAGCTAACGCATACAGCACCTGAGAAACCCCTGCGAGGCTGTGCCAATGCACCGGGAGGTGGACAGGGAAGCTGTATGTTCAGTGACTGCTAGGAGACAGATTTACTTTGCTGAATCAGGCAAGGCATTTCTTGGATGACTCCTATTTTCTTTGCTAAATTTCACTTTTCTGACCTCAGAAGAGGGTTTACGACTAAAAAGAAGGTGATAGGCTGTACTTCAGAGCTCCTACATGTGCTGCTCATTGAGATCTGACTTGGGGTAAAGGTGTACACCTCCAGGCATGATCCACAACAGTTGAAGGAACCTGCCACAGACAGACGAGGTTCTTCCTCCACACATAGAAGGAACTTAATGTAAAATTTCAGGCACGTGATATGAAGCGCAAATACAGATCAGTATAACAAGGATAGGAAGAATTCACAGCACTATGAAAAGGGAATGCCCGGCTCATTTTTTACTTCTGACTTCTCACCTCTTATGTATTTTGTTCACCTCACTTCATATTAAGCTGACTAAAACTCAGCTAAGCCATTAATGTCTACAGCTTTTACTCACAAGTAGCTAAGCAGCTATTCCTGGGGATCTGGGGTTTTTCCAGAGTTTTCTTATTTAATGAGCTAAGACCCAGCAAATCAGTTACAGTTAGATAAAAGGACTAAGTGACAAGGGGTGATATATTCAGAAACTCTAATTCTAGCCCCATAAAGCCAATGCCCTGGGCTCTCCCAAGACACTATCTCCTTCAGAAGGCAACAGCATGGGATCATTCTTTGGAAGATCACCTCTTTCCTTCATGACTACAGAAAAAAACTAGGCTACTTTATCCTCTTAGGCAAGGTTAGTCCATACAAATACCTCTCAGACACCTTGTGTTCCTCTTTCTACTCTGGAGGGAAGCTGGGAATCTAATTGTGACTGTCACTGAGGCCAGGCATGGCTAAGGTCAGATATCACAGTGCCACTTGAGAGGAATTGAAGCCAACTTTTACTTTTAAAGGTCAACTTTTCCTAAGAGCTCCTAAAAGCAGGACAGATGTTTTCTATTCAGCATGACCTGCAGTTTGGTCTTTCTTTTCCAAACTGAGTCCTCACAGGAAAGCATTTGTAGGTGAGAGCCCTCTCCTTCAGCCACAAAAGCCACAGCTTCACTGGGATGTGTAAAATGAGCCAACAGGCCTGGGGACAAGGTGCAGCCTCTGGCTGTACCCAGATGGGCTGCATGGCCCCACAGGTACCTGAGGCAGTACATGGCACCTACTGCCTCTTCAGAGAAGCAATAATTCAGAGAAGAACTGATCTTGAGCTAAGCTTGTGGAGAGTACAATGAGAATGAATCAATAAAATAAGTGAACTTCTGAGTTATGACTTAAACCGCAAAGTACAGAAGTATGCTTCCAACTGGCACAGTGTGCCAGGGGGTTTGGAAAAGTGATGAGTGAAACAGACTACTTTGAAGACCTGGAACTTATCACAAAATTATTTTAGACATGAAATGCAAAGCAGAGCAGGATGATTAAGGAATGGAGAAGTGAGGAAGACTGAGGGAGAGCAGCCTAGGCTTGTAGGGAACAAAACAGATTATAGAAGAGGGCAAAAAGGTAAGACAGCAAGAGAAGGAACAGGAGTTTAGCAGGTTCCAGTCAATGCAGTGGAGTGAGTGTACCAGGGAGGAAGGGAACACCGAGCTCAGGGCCAACCAAGGGACTAGGGATGCAATCCCCCACTAGCTCCACATTTTTCTTTTATTTCTCCGTATTGGTAACTTCGGTGTCTTCCCTCAGCAGGTCCTGGAGGCATCAGGGAAGGCTGGCGGGCTGCAGAGCACAAATCTGCATCTGCTGGCTGCCCGGCCAGAAAGAGTCCCACTGAACAGCATAGCCAGAAAGGCTTTCAGAAACTTTAACTTTACATCCATGACAAGCTACCGAAAAAGCTTTTAAATTGATTCTTAACCAGAAATAGAGTAAGAATTTGTGATATTAAGTTACTCATATTTTTCTGATGCAGGTTGGGAAATAACCATTATTACTTAGCAAAATGTAATTTTCTAGTAATCATTGGTTATTGAATAAGTGGTATTGAGTGTCTGTGAAAATCAAGGCTCCTTCCCTTGATACTGCACTGTCATGAAAAAGAAAGTTGAAAATAGCTGCTGTTTTACAGAAAGTACAGTGAATAATCAACAGGCTTAGCTGATCATCTGCATGCAATATACTGGAAATTGCTCATTTGCACTTCCTAAAGCAGAATCCTTTCTTATTTCTTGCTTATAAATTGGATTTCCTTAAGTTAATTTTGCATGCTTTCAAGCAATTTCTGTAAAATACTGAAGGCATAGAATGATAATGATATCAAAAAGACAAATGAGAAACTACTGGGGAAATCTTATAGAGGAAATCCTAGTTCCAGCAGCACTGATGTGGATTCACTAACTCTAGGATTTCAACCTGGAGAAAGCACCAGACCAAAGAATCTGTTCAATAACATTCAGTTCATTCATTATCCCATCGAGTCTGACATCATGTCATTCACATATTGTCTCTCATTCCCACTCCCTTCTCTCTGATCCTGTTGTCTACATTACACTTTTTTAAGTCCCCC